ACTGCTCCCTGACTCCCAAGGCTCAGACCCATACGCTGCCCTGCACACCATGGGACCTGGCCGCTTGTTGGATGGTAGGGCCTGAGCCGCCTCACTGCTGCCCGAGGCCCTGTCGGGGTTGGAGGCTGAAGCTGCCACTTGCGGCTCCCAAAGCCTGGGCTCTGTGCACCAAGCTGGACACCATGATGGGCCCAAGCAGTTTCACACCGCCACCAGAGCAGGGTCTGCGCACGGTCTCTGTGCACCGTCAACAGCCCAAGCAGTCTCACACGGCTCCCAAGGCTGCTCCTCCAGTGGCAGCTTCAGGAGCCTTGGGTCTATTGCCCACTGGAGGAGAGCTCCCCAGCTTTTCTTGGCTCCACTCTTCTTGAGTCCCTCACTGCATCTGCCCCTTGTGCTAGGCACGCAGCTCCTTTTATACACTCCAGCCCTGAAGTCCTCCAGACCTGACGGTTTATAGTCTTCAATCAGATCCAGGGAACCTCTTCTCCCCTTCCTCTCAGGAAAGGGGCATGACTTTATTTCTCTTGCTGCCTCCTGATTGGTGGATGGGCTCCACCAATCAAAACAGCAGGATCTCAAGCCTGGGACTCAACCCAAGCTCTGAAAGGTGAGCCTGCTACACTGTATTCAAATAATTTGAATTGGTGCTAGTTAAAGATACTCCAATTGGTGAAACAAGTAAAACACTTTAACATTAGCTGCTAAACTCTTGCATAGTTTGTCTCCATAGATTGCCAGCACGGTTGCAGGCAGTCTTCTTGGACTACAAATAGAGTTTATATTTGTAGCTTGATTTTAGAGCAATAAAGAGAACTACTGTAAAAAAAATGACATTGTTGACTTAATGGGTGGACTTTGCTGAGACTGAAGCACACTGTAGTACTTGGCTGAGTCACTTCACAGGTGAAAACATGACAAAGGCTATGGTATTCTATTCAGCACAGCAAATGAAGGGCACAAACAATTTAAAATTTAATTTGGGGGCAGGGGGGTTGGTTTTACATACTCTGTGTTTGGGTTTAGCTGTTTGGAAATAACTTTCCTTGTAGATTTTGGCAACTCTGAATTCTCTCTCAAGCTAGGGAGAGCTAAAATTAGCATAGCTATTAAATGTAAAGATAACCAAATGCCTCAGAGAGGAAATATCCTACTGACAGAATTAGGCTAGATTCCCAACTGGTATAACTCAGTGCAGCTGAATTGGCCAAAGTTATTCCAATGTAAATTTGGACTGAGTGCAGTAATTTCATGAATTTACTCTTTACTTTTTTAATATATTAAAAAAAAAATTACCCCAAAATAAGGCATGGAACTACTGAATGCTCATAATTCATTGTACACTGCCCAGCCTGAAGTAAATGAGATGGGAGTCTAGAGGAAACAATGGTAAATAATGGTCATGCACTTATAAATTTATACTGTAATGTATATGCAGACTATTAATTCAATAGTCATTTGGGATTCTTCTGAAGTACTTTTAAGTTTCTTAATGGCATTTCTTCTTCCTTTAAAGATAACAAGGGAGAGAGAAAAATGACAGATCATAGTACTGTGCAGTAGACAGTTACAAGTCACGCTTCATTTAATGTACATCAGAAACAACCAAAACAAAACAAAAACTCATTTCAAGATCCATAAAATTATCATGCATCGCCAATCTACTTCGCTTATACAGCCTCCTTTATCTAAAAAATGCGAGTGTTTCACAATTTGTATTAATTTTCACAACAAGTCTGTGAAATGGGGAAGAGGTATCATGCCCATTTTATGGATGGGAAAATGAGGAATGGAGAGCATAGGTAATTTGCCCAGTGATGCACAGAATGTTAAGGGCAAAGCAGGGACTTAAACCCATGCAACTCTCCAACCCCAAGATCGTCCTTCTTTGTAGTGAAGTACTGGAAAATAAGCCTCCATTATTATTAAAAGATTACTACTTGTTCATTATGTAGACTTAAAATATTCAAAGTTAGGACAATTAAAGTGATTTTTTTCAGGGGGCAAGGAAAGTTAAATCAAATAAGGATTTTTTCCCACACCAGAAAAGTTTCTATTTAATTCCTGCTGAAATTTTAGAGCTGAAAAATATTAGGCAGCTATTTCTCCAGATCCTGCTACAGGCTCTAGGTATACTCTTCTAACTTATGATTTTCTAAAAGAAAGAAAATCAATGGCAAAAAGTCCAAAAAAATCAAAATACTTAATTTACTTTGCAGTGACTCTAAATGGATCTTTTAGTAGCAAGACAAACAAAGTCATCAGCAACAGTTTCTACTTAAAATATATACACTATTGCTTTAATTTTCTGTTAACAGAAGTACTCATTAAACTTGACATTCTTGGACTGGATGGCAAGCTGTTATTAAAGAAATTAAAACACTACTTCTGGAGCTATATATGTTACAGGCTCATTATTAACTGAGGTATTACCAGGAGTTTTTCTATGCACTAAGATATACACCATCATTTGGTTCAATTATCCTTGATGTTTTCATAGCTTGCTTGGTATACTGTAAGATAATGAGATGAAAATGATCTCTGCTGCCACATAACTTAACAGACTCTATCTTAACCCAACTAATTTAATCTTTGCAAATTTCCATTTGACATTTTCAAGAAGTGAAATCATTGCTTCAAAAGCTAAAAAAGGTTTGAACATTAGTAATTTTATCTGTATGTCATCCTTTGCTAATTTTTCACAAAAATGATAAAGATACTATTTACTAGGCCTGTGTGAAGTGGCTAGTATTTGCTTTGGATTCGGCCAATTTGGGGGACAGTAATTTTATTTAGTGATTTGAATCACTGTCCTGAATCATTTCAGCCGAATCTCTGAATCAAACAGGCCCCATCCCCCGCCCACTCTCCCAGCCCCATCAATGGCTGCCTCACTCGGCCCCAGCTCCTGGCTCTTTCCGAATCGATTTGGACCTTTTATTGGTCTCCCAATTCTATTTGGATTCAGCCGCCAAATCGAGCCAAATCTCCTTCAGCAGCCAAAGCTTTGCACAGCCCTTCTATTTACTCATGCTCCTAATTAACAAAACTACAGAATCAAAGGCTGGAAAGTTCTATGTTTAATTATGGGTTTCAAATTTGAATTGCACAAAGCAGAATCTCATCATGTGTATTCAGTATAAGCATACACAAAATACAAATCAAAAAGACCAGGAGGCAAACTGGCAGATTCGTCCATGAGTAACTAAAAATTAATCTATAGCAATGACTTCTGAAAACAGCTTGCTTCACGTGACCAGCAAATGGAGGAGTAAGAGAAAATGAATATAACTGAGGACTATGACTTTTTTCATCTTAGATGGAAGCTGTACATAAGCAAAGAAAAAGAGGTTTCTGTCATTCAGTCTGCAGTGTTATTTAAAGATCAAACCAAGGCACAGTAGCTTAAAGCTTTACTTTATCAAAAAGGCATGTGCAGTCAAGAAATGAATTGAATAGTAAATGGGACATTTTATTTTGAAGCTTTGCTTAAGGTGGTGTTCAAAACTTCATTATTGATAAACTGCCTTGTTTACTGTGCAATACAATCAAGCTCTACTGTACATAACTCCTCTTATTTCCCAACACAGTCTGTGATTCTTTTTTAAGTCTTCCATTTCTCCATGAATTTACTTCAAGAGGAATTTTAAGCATTTGGTAAAGGAAATTCATTATGTGGACTGAATGTCCTACTGTAGCAATTTAGAGTCAGAAAACATACAGAATATATGCTGAAAGGATCCTCTGAACACAATTTAAAAAGGGAAGTATTTACCTGCATTTGCTAATGAAAGTCTTTTTACTTATGAAGTTAAAGGTAAGGGTGGTACACACCGTGTCACTCAGATACAATAGCCTGTTTGAATGGGTAAGGCTCTAGTAATGTTGCAGAAATTGTAATTGATAATATGTACATTCTGTGCTGAACTCAATTAATATTTTTCTTATCTGAATGGAGAACAAAGCCACCAGAAACGTAATATTGCAAAAACAGAATAAGGAAGGGTCTTATCCCACCAACCCCTTTAACTTCAGTTCTTATATTGTTAGAGCATATTCAAGCTTACTAGAAATGCATGAAACTCATCCCACATTTTTGCAATGCAATACTGTCTTTTACTGACCAAAAAATGAGATTCTTGTCAGCGGAGAAGACTGTCAAAGGAAAGCAAGTAGTGTGGTATTGTGCATTACAGACTTCTCTTCCATACTTGGTTCTGCAATAGGCTTCAAGAGCCTATCATTTAGGGCTCAGGTATTGCCTCACTCTGGGGTTCTCCCTAGACCTACTAGCCACATTCCTCTTTGGCCTAAAAATTACCAAAGTCTGATTATACATTTTTAAATAAAATTACAGAAATAGGGATCATCACCCCATCCTGTTGTATGTTCTAATCACTGAGCTACAGTCATAATCCCTGTCTTTAGTACAATTAACTATCCTTTTTTTTTTTTTTATGTGCACCATAGCACAGATGCAGCAGGAGAGGTGAGGAGTGGCCCAACATGGAATAGCTTGGCAGTTGGGGCACTCCCCTGGCAGGTGGAAATGGTAGATTTGAAACCCCAGGCAAAACTAACCCTGGGTCTTTTGCATCTTGGTGAGTGCTCTAAGGTTAGGCTATTCAGTAAGAGGGGAGCATCTACACTTTTTGTAGCAATTTCTTTAAAGGAGAGTCTTGCTCAGCTCTGAGAGAATGATTATAGGCATTTATCCTTGGGGGAGGATTCTGTGCTATGCATGCTGAGTCAGGCATCTACTCTGCAGAGGCAGCATTTAAGACCTACCCCATCTCATGTATCCTATTGGCTAGTTTGACACGGTTCCTCTTAACAAGCCTGTACTTCCAAGATGACAAATATGTCAGCAGAGCAGCTTCATACCTAGAAATCGTGTTCAGTCGGATGTGAAGAGGCAGTTTCTACATTGTTGGATTTGGCATACAAGGAGTAAGATACAATTTTAATTTTATAACTGGAAGTAACATGGAGACAAAGCCGAGTTGTTCAAGACAATTTATTTCCAGTCGTGACAACACTGCACAACAGCGATTTGAAAGAGTGGTGTTGGAAAAGAAAATCGGAAGGGAAAGCTAGCATAACGTGTACTTTATCACAAACAAAATCTGGACACTTGGTTTTTTTTTTTTTTTTTTTTAGATAATCTTTGGCAGCGTTATTTGGCTCCGTACTGCTTCCAGATAGAACCTTTTTTGAAATGGCTAGGTGAATATTTTTCAGAGGTTCCAGTATTCTTTTCAGAAATAACCCAATTTATCTACATGAATAATTCAAAGCTCATTTATAGCACAGTATTATTTTCTTGTACCTTTTTTTCTGCTCCCTAACAGAGTCCCCTTCACAGAAATAACTGCAGAAGGTGAGAGAATTAAAAAAAAATATATGTTTGTTGTTTTTCCAGTTCAGCCTCTTTCTAGATGATGATACATTGCACAGCTGAAAGCTTTGAGTTGCAGAGACTGGGGCTCTGCGAGAAGCAATCCTTAATGTAGTAAATTTCCCACCACAATCACACAGCAGATGGCTTTTTCATGCTCTGCTATTTCCCTCTCCATTGGGTGTATGGCCAGTATCTGAGCCATACTGCTGGAGTAACATTAAAAACATGACCTCTCAGTCATATTGCTGTGTGTAAAGGAGGGTAGATTTGGAAGGAATATAGGAGAAAATCCTCCCCTAGTGAGAAATATCCAATGCCCCTGGAACTTAGACAGTTTATACTAGCTAAGCAGTGACCTTATTACATGAAAGTGCTGTCCCCCATTTCCACGTGCACAAAATAACTTCTACTTTTCCACCTACCCACATACCTGAAGAGAAATATCAGCTTCATGATCTTTAAATGGGATTAATGCAAAAAATACACTGAAATTTTCTGTTTAGGGAGCAGAATATTCCCAGATCAAAGTCAAATGCTACATTAGCCAGTAGAACTCTATATAAAAAATAGACAACATATCCTAGCTAAACTCCAAAACAGTCTTCCCCAGCTAATAAAAATAGAACCAGGGTCTGTGGCAATGTCAAAGTGATCAGTATAAGAAAACAGGAAGATGTTGTGTGATTGTTTTTTGTTTTTTTTACTGTACTGTGCTAAATAAATGAATAAATACTAACCATCCAGTTTATTATTACTGTTATTAATCGAAGCTCCATAGTTTAAATCCTAAACAACTTTGAAACTTTACCTACAGGAGTAGAACAAATATATATAATAATGTTTCCAACTATTAAGTGTCTTATACAAGAAATGAAAATGATACAGTGGATAATTGTAGTGATGGTTTACCTGCTCATATATCAGATTCAGTAAATGTAGTAAAAAGGAGAAAAGTATTATTCCACATTACAAATGAATACCATTTTCTATAACAAACCTCTCTCTCATCTTACCAACTGCACAAAATAATGATTTTAGTGGGTATGAGCAAGAAGCAATCTTTGTGGGTAAATGTTCATTAACTAACTCAAGTAAAGCATTATTTACTACAGAAACCATGTTATTAACTGTGTTTGAAAAGATCTGATATCTAGGGCAATCCCAGCATATGACAGAAAAAGTACTGACTCCTGAATTACAGTCAGTTGTGATGTTTTAATATTTGCCATTTGATATAACATTCTGCATATCGGATGTAGCACAAGCAGTATCTGGCATATAGTTCTGATTTCTAACCCATTTTTTCAAGAACCCATTGTTGTATTACAGGGGATGAAATGCTTTGAAGTGGCTATAGAAGTGTTCTTTAAATTTGTTATAGGCTTAGTATTTATTAGAGGCAAAACTGATAGTGCCGTCAATTATTATGAGTGCTTAGCACTTCCCATTACAAGATCCTATTTTCAAGTGCTTTTCCAAATAGCATGAAAACTTTGAGACCAAGATGTTAAGTGTCTACTGGTGTCTGACTTCATTGGAAAATTTTAGTCAAAATTATTTAGCATCAGAGCCTCTGGGAATCAAAGTAGGGAAAAAGACACTGGTTTGCCATATTCAAAATTTTAGAACTATTTAACTGGTAGACTTTAGTTCTCCCCGCACCCCCACAAGCTTTAAAATTTGGCAGGGTGGTTAGTGTCAAACATGTTTCCAAGAAACATGCCCGTTTCTCTTGCTACTTTCAAGAAAGCCTATCTACATTTTGCCAACTTATATGGCTATAAATGTAATGACTTCACATGCTCTGTAGAGACTAATTAGGACTTTGCAACTAGCCCATGTAGATTCCATCTATCATAAGACTCAAACCTAGGGCTACAGAAGCTCAGCAGCACTTTTCCTGAACTTGCATCTCAAGCACTGGAACAGAGAATAGGGAAACTGTCATTCCTATGCTCTTAATGACTCTTCTTTCCATGCTTGTAGCCAATTAACACAGAGCAAGAAGGCACATGATTCATATGCAGATTGGATAAAAAAGTTGGACTGGAATAGAGACCGGGAGCTGCAGGAATAGGGTGAGGTTGGACTGGAATTGGCTTGGGAAAGGAATGAATGGAGAAGATTATTAGGAGAAGGGTTGGGGTGGGGACTGAGTCTGTATAAAATCAAATAAGAGAAGAGGGGTAGGCTAAGCCTATCTGGGCAAGGAGACCAGAAGATACTCTGACCATGCCTAATAGTCTCTTCATATGTCATGTACAATTCTGCTCTTGAAATGTCCAAATAAATATGCTGCTTTTCCCCCAGTAATACACATGCAAACTGAACTAATTTTGATCTTCAATTATATATGACAGGTCCAAAATGAGATTGGCCGTTTCCACTGCTACTTGCAGACCATTGCATTTTGCAGCAAAACAGTCCAATGCCCGAAGGTCAGGGGACTTTCCACAAGGGTCTTTGCAGCAGCTCTGTGGAGTAAAGGGGCTATGCTGGTTTCGTAAAACCATCCATTTGAGCTTCTGCTGGTTGCTGTGAATCCCACAACCACATTTTGAAACTAAATCTGACCACCTAGCATCAGAAGGAAAACCTGATGGAATAGACCAAAAGTGTCCATATACTGCATCAGTAAGAATTTCACCATTATCATGCTCCAGACAGCAAGCTATGGACTCTAACGAATGGCAAAAAGCATCAGCAACCAATTGGTATTGCGTCTGAGAACAATCCAGAGCTTTGAAAGTACTAGTGGGAAGGTTAAAAACCTGAAAGAAAAATAAATGAAAACTGCCATTAGATAACTGTAAAAATATTTCACCTAATCAGGTGAAAAACTAGTAAATACTTTATTTTCTCACATATAACATGTCCCCCAAAAAGAAACACCCCAAGATTTTTGGGAAGGCAGAATGAAGAAAAAATATTTTTCCAGAGTGATGGCTGCAGAGGCACCTAATCTTCAGGTAATTCATACTCCCTTTTCTGTGCAACTAAAAGCTGAAACCCTAGATGTGGCTGAAAACTGATCTCTGTGGGTAGATTTTTGATGCTGAAAAGACCTAAAGAGTCTCCAAAGCTGTGAAATGGGAGGAGAGACCAGGAACAGCTGTCAAAATCACCTTAAGAAAGGTTAGCTTGATAAGTGCAACATCAAGACCATTCAAAAAGAAAGGCAATCATTAACACTTGTAAAGTACAATAAACCAACAAGTCAACTGATTCCCTCAGCTTCCTGAATAGTAATGCTACTGCTGCTACACTGAGGAGCAGGAATCAAAGCAGGGTGCTTCTATTCTGGGCAAAAAATCAGCTGGGCCACTTAAGACATGCACCCCAGTTATGGAGGGGGGGTTGATTTTGGGGGGAAAAGTTGTGTGGTATGTGAGTAAAAACAGTACTTATTGTGTGCATGCGTTAGTTTTCCCACCACCAGACAGTAGTTTTGTACATGGTCCATTGTTAACCCTTTTCATTAATAAAAAAAGTTAACATGACAGCATAATTCAAGTAACAAAAGGTTTCAAACAATTCCATTCAAAACCAAAGAAGTCTCCTCTTATTAATGTTCAAGACAACAATTCTACATAGGTTTTTTTTTTTTTTTTCAATAAAATGAATGACAAGAATACAATGAAAGAACAATAGTTACAATAAATAAAAGCTGAAGGGATGTTAAGTGTACAAATACAGTAGAATAAAATCCACATGGAAAACATCCTGAGGCCGGTATATATCAGCATATCCTCTGGATATCCTAAAATTTCATTTTATATATGTCATTCTTTGGAGAGTAAGAGGTAATACTTTGTATTAAGTTAACCTGCTAAAGACAAGTGAGGTATTTCAACTCTACAAAAACTAGCTTGCCTTAAATATATGGCTCAGTAAAGGCATCCAGGAGGGCCTAAGGGCAAAAAAGGTGGCATACAATCAGTGGAGGCAAGGGGCTATTACCAAGGAGGATTACACCTCCACTGCTTGTGATTGCAGGGAGGCAGTTAGGAAGGCCAACGCAGAGATGGAACTAGGGCTGGAGACCAGAATCATGGGTAACAAAAAGTCCTTTTTCAAAAGCATAGGGAGTAAGAAAGAGGCACCAAGTAACATAGGGCCTCTACAGGACAGGCTTGGCAATATGGTGATTGCAGCAAAGGAAAAAGCTAATCTCTTCAATAAGTTCTTTGACTCCATATCTCTGAGCAGGGACTGGGACAACTCCCCCACTAGGATTACAGACAGACTCAGGGGAGACAACACCATGCTTAGGGTCAGGGACAATCTAGTTAGGGAACTCCTGGAGGGGCTGGACATGTTTAAATCAGCAGGTCTGGATGCTCTTCATCTGAAGGTACTGAGGGAATTGGTGGAGGCCATAGCAGGGCCTCTGGCATGGCTGTATGAGTGCTCGTGGTGCTTGGGCCAGGTCCCAGAGGACTGGAAAAGGGCCAATGCAGTCCTCATTTACAAGAAAGGGAGAAAGGAGGACCTGGGTAACTATAGGCCAATCAGTCTCACCTTGGTCCTTGGGAAGACCTTTGAGAAAATTATCAAGGAGCACATCTGCCAGGGCCCAGTATGGGAGGTAATGCTCAGGGGCAACCAACACAGGTTCACTGTGGGCAGATCCTGCCTGACTAACCTTGTTTCCTTTTACGACCAGGTCACAAAGTCCTTGGATGCGGGCATTGAGGTGGATGTCGTCTACCTGGACGTCAAGAAGGCCTTTGATACCGTTTCTCACTCCATTCTCACAAAAAAACCATGCAACTGTGGTACTTATGCCTACACAGTCAGATGGGCAAGTTGGCTCGATGGTAGCACCCAGACAGTGGTGGTGGTGGACAAGTCATTTTCGACCTGGAGGGATGTGGGCAGTGGAGTTCCCCAGGGCTCGGTCCTTGAGCCTGTGCTATTCAACATCTTTTATCAGCAACTTGGAGGTAGGTGTGGAAAGCACGCTGTGCAAATTTGCTGATGATGCAAAGATGTGGGGAGAAGTGGCACACTGGAGGGGAGGGACAGAATTCAGCTAGATCTAGACAGGTTACAGAGGTGGTCAGATGAGAATAGGATGGAATTCAACACAGACACGTGCAGGGTACCGCATCTAGGGAGAAGGAACCAGGAGCACACCTATAGGCTAGGGAATACCCTTCTGGTCAACATCATGGCAGAAAGGGATCTTGGAGTCATTGTTGTCTCCAGGATGGACATGAACTGCCAATGTGAGGAAGCAGTCAGTAAAGCTAACCACACCCTGTCGTGCATCTACAGATGCATCACAAGTAGGTCCAGGGAGGTGATCCTTTCCCTCTATGTGGCGCTGGTCAGGCTGCAGTTGGAGTACTGTGTCCAGTTTTGGGTGCTGCACTTCAAGAGGGATGTGGCTAACCTTGAGAGGGTTCAGAGGAGAGCCCCTCGCATGGTCAGGGGGCAGCAGGCCAGGCCCTATGAAGGTAGACTGAAGGGCCTGAATCTATTCAACCTCCATAAGAGAAGACTGAGAGGGGATCTGGTGGCCGTCTATAAACTCACCAGGGGGGAACAGCGGAAAATAGGTGAGACACTGTTCCCCCAGGCACCACCTGGGATAACAAGGAATAAGAGAAACAAATTGATTGACAGCAGGTTCAGGCTTGGTATCAGGAGACATTATTTTACAGTTAGGGCTGCAAGGCTCTGGAATGGGCTCCCAAGGGAGGTGGTACTCTCCCCTAGCTTGGGGGTCTTCAAGAGGGGTTGGATAGATATCTGGCTAGGATATTATGATCCCAGCACTCGTTCCTGCCCTGAGCAGAGGGTTGGACCTGATGATCTGTTCAGGTCCTTTCCGACCCTAGAAACTATATTAAGCAATGTTAAATAATCTCACAAGGCCTTACATACCTCATATTTTACATATGAGGCCAAATGAGTTTCTGTACAGCCACCTCCTAACAGTGCCAAAGGTTGCTTGACTGTTAACTGTAAGATGTGTTCTGCGGTTTGACAGGCAACCTGAAGAGCAAGATAAATTTGTCATTACATATGATATCATGAAAAGAAAAAAAGCTGTTTTAAAAAACATTATAAGAAAAATTTAAGTAACTTTGGAGATAGAATTTTAAAGCGGAGTTCTTCTCTAAATATGAATGTAGAGGTGGCACTTGCTTATTCAACAGCTGCTCTGAGTAATTTCAGAATCATACCTGCTTGCCTACAAAAGCAAGCTTTTGCTATCCACTGTTAGCACTGCAGAGCACAGCTAAGAGAGAGCTTGATTCTGTTCCATCTTTTCCTTAATCAAAGCTATTTACTAATTAGTAACTAGATCATCTTTGAAGTCATTTTTAGTGTAGAGCCATAATTGAGTCATCTAGGTCAAGGGTGGTCAACCCCAAGCCCCTGGGCTAGATCCAGCTCATGGAGCTGTGTTCTCTGCCCTACACTCAATACTGAATGTCCGGAAATTTGGTGGCCGAGGAGCACTGGCAGCATGGGCCAGATGATATGGCGCTGTGCTCCAGACTGCCAGTATGTGGTTAGATATGGACGCATGGGTCCGGGTTAGTGAGTGTTCGAATTCAGGCACATAGGATCGCACCCGTGAACCAACCCCACACACCAACCCCGTGCAGGATCTGGCCTATGGGGCTGAAAGGTTGGGTACCACTGACTTAAGTACTCAGTGGTATTGCGTTGCCAAGTGAAGGGTTAAGGGTGATCTTGAACCTCTCCTCTCAGGCAGCTGAAATAATATAAACCAAAACCCTACATTTCTTGCTAGTGGCAGCCTCAAGAGGGTTAGAAATAACATTTAAGTACAAAATTATATGGCAAAAAGCTGCCTCTGCATATTTACTGAGATGGGCAGGTGATCAAGGAAGTCTTGTTTTTAGAGACTAAAATTACTAATAAAACATTCCTCCCATTTCTCCCCCACAGAATAGTATGTTTCTATTAGATACTTTGAGTACTTTACCCACCTTTAGTTCATCCCATGCTGTTTCATTTCTGTTACAGAGTATCAAGCTGCAGACAAGGGTATCATTAGGAATTAGATGCAAGAAACGTTTTGAAACAAAATTCTCAGTACGCAGATCCTTCAGACTGCCATAACAACTAGGAGACAAAGAATGTATGGCAGCTATAGGCTTTGAACCTGTTCAATTAAGAAAAGACAGAATAGCAAGTATTATTATCCTATCATCAGAAAAGCTGTCTAATGTGCTTTGTACAACATGGACCTCAATGTTTGTACTTAACACTTAAAAAAAACCCCAACCAAATCCTTTTCAAGACAGCTTCATGTTAATTTTCAAACTGTAATGCAAGTCATGCAAACAGAAACCTGTACAGTCTCTTGCAAATGCAGGGTCTAGTGGTAGGTCATTATAAAAGATATAATTTTAGTATTCAGAGTAGTCAAGAGTTTAAAAACAATCTTCGTTCATAATCATAAGTACCATGGATCTCTCTCTTAGGGCAGTAAACAGCATCTGTAGATATATAACTAGTGCAACTAAGCACAAAAAATTGCTATTAACATGTTTGAAAAAAATGGTTTCAATCAGTTAGTCACCAGAAGGATTAGTAGGGCCTAGCAACTATTCTTCAGCTAAAAGTTATGTTTAAAATGCTGGAACAAACAGAATCTCTACCATACAGATGAAGGACAGGCAGAGCCAGATTTAAAGCTGTTATACTAAACTTCATTAAAATGTGGTATTAATATTTTAACCATGAATATATTATTAACCTTAACTTGACCTTAGCAAATTTGTATCTGGGAAACTAATTTCCCAAATCTTCGTTTACTATCAATTTTTTGCCAAGCAGAAATAACTTAAATTGCTTTCCTTATTAATACTCTTTACTATGAAAGTCACAGACTTCATGATCTTAAAAAAACCCTCAATTACTTCATGTTTCAGAGTTTTTTGCTTATAGTACATCAATCTGAGAGTAAAGAAGCTGAATCAACTTCAGTGAAAATCTTGAGAACTGCCAGACATAACCTGGTTTCAACAGAGGCTAAAAGAAAAACGGAATACAAGTCACAGCATATGCATATGAACTAAGATACCAAATTATGGAGGCTGGGATACTACTGATTATTTTTTAAACAATATATTGGGGTAAAAAAGGATATTTTGATTTAAATAATGCAAGACACAGGTCTTACCACTTACTATTCTGACTTTTGCCTACAAGTATTTGGCCCAAATCTGGCCTAGCCTAAATGAGCTTAGAATTTAATGCAGAAAACCTGGAGACTGGTGCCCAAATATTAGCAATGAGTACATCAGCAGCCCTTACATGTTTTGGTTGATGAAGAAAGCAAAGTATTCTCTAAAACATGAAATAAGGCCTAATCAGCAGCAAAAGGTAACACTAGGTTGACATTGTGATTTTCGGGTCTGTCTAACAGTAAGCAAAGGGGAAACATTTGAATGTTGCAAGAAACCTAAAGTTTTATTTTTAAGCTCAAAAGCACGAGAGGGAAATAACAGAGAAACCATGTATTTAGTAGTGTTCTATGTATTGATTTAGAAGATATTTCAAGAAAATGTCCCATTTTAATTAGGAAAATAGCTAGTAGTTGCTGAAAACATTTCATAATAGGCAATCAACACCAGAAATCTTAAAAATTCAATGAGCAGTAAGAACAAATCTTTTATAATTAATGAAACAGAAGGAATCGAGACTGTGCTGGTATCATTTTTTCAATCTCTGTTTCAGATTTGGAGTACTTCGAAAGCCAACTGATCATGGAAAAAGTCTGCATTGTTCCAAAACATGTCTAGATGGAGTAAGTCCTGAGATGTTGGACCCTACACTTGTGATTCTTAGCTTTCTTCTTTCCCACTCTCACATGCACACACCTCCACACTATTAGCATATCATTTTCTAACAGCTTTAAGTGATCTGTGTGTGAAATAATTTCTACATAGAGCTGATTTCATAATAGATACTATGGAAATGCTGAACTCAAAATGAAAGAAAGTTAGCAATCAAAATTTTTTTACTTGAAATCTCAACATCAAAAATGTCTTGAATCCTATCCTATATGGATATTTAGATTATATGCCCATTTTTCAGTGGTATACATCATTGATTTCTAGCCTACTTCACATAACATTCTTCACAATTGACACCACCAGCTATGCTTCTTTCTGGCATTAGTCCAGGAATGAGTAGCATATGTCTTGTGTCATGAGCAATGAAACTGTAATGTTTTATTAACAGCATTACTTGGCAGAAGTAATGCAAGAAATGGCAAATAGTTTCTATTATATGATACATTTTGAGTTATAAAGGTTATATGGCAAAATTAAATCTTTTCTTATACTTTCATTTAGAACACACAAAATATGTAACACTTTGTCTCCAATGATATATATGTATGTATAGTGAGTGTTGTCTTGTAACTATCGGTTCCTGTCCTTGTCTAGAAACATGGCAATCACTTTATGAAACAGGTGTTAGAGTTGTCATACAGGCCACAAGGTGGCTTAACCTGTGAAGCATTTCATCTGGTCTTCTGGGCTATTGGCAGTTCAGGGCATGGCCAATGATGGCAAGGCCTGCCACAGAATTCGGGGCCCCCAGGCCCCACTGGACAGAGCTGTCAGTGACAGAAGGGCAAACAAGGGCTGTGACTGTCATAAACTCGCGCACCCTGTTGCTGCCCAGCAGGCCACTGCTTGGCTCACTTCAGCCATATCTACTGCTGCCGCTGGCCCTAGAGATATGGCCCAAGAAGAGCCCTGCAGTCTGAATTAGGCATAGAGCCCAGGGTGAATTGGACATCCCTGGGTTATACTGTATGTCCACATATTTGAGAGCAGCAGCATCCTTTCCTTGAAACAGATATTGAAACAACTTATTTCTATACACTGACTCCACCAAAATGTAAATGAGTTATAAACTGCTCAAGATTAACAAGCTGATGGTACATAAATTGTAACAAGTACTACATTCAATCATCTTCATTTTATGTGAGATTATTAAGAGCGTCAAACAGAAAATAGCACCTCCGATGTTTTATCTTTGAAGCAAGCCATGGACATAGAAGGTGTTGTGCTGGTTGACTTCTTGTGCAAGGGAGCCACAGTAAACTCAGAGGTCTGTCAGAACCCTGAAGAAACCGAAATATTGCATACAGAGAACCTGACAGAGGTTTTACTTCTGCATGACAACACTTGCATGCACATCAGAGTCCATGACATTCTTTGGAAGTCTCGTTAGCCTATCCTTCCTGCAGCCCACAGGATGAAGGACTACAAGAGTAATATTTACAGGAAAACAGTGAAGTGGTGGAGGCTATGTGACGGTGCTTACATAATAAGCTTAAGGACTTTTACAATGTTAGAATGCAATCATCAATGGAAAAGGTCATTGATGGAGATTTATGTTGAAAAAACAGCCATATGTTCAATAGGGGTGTGCAAAACAGGCCACATTCGATTTGGATTAGTCCTGAATCAGGGATAGCGATTCAATTAGTTGATTTGGATCACTATCCCCGATTTGATTTGGCCGAATCCAAATCTGAAGATTCGATCCTGATTTGAAAAAAATCAGCGATTTGGCCATAGACACAGCTTTAAATGTTTTTTCTACATACCTCAAGGTACCAGGCGTGGCTCGTGAATGCTGCAATGGTGGGGCATGTGGAGCTTCCCACATGGGCATGGGGGGCCCCCTGCGTGCTCAGCTGCAATCCCAGAAGTTCTTCCAGTCCAGTTTCGGGTCTGCCACTGAGCGCACCGGGGGCCCCCGGCTCAGTGATCAGCTGCACGGGGACCCCGGGTACCCCCTAGACCCAGAAGGCACCAGTTGCTGGGCTGGGGGGGGCCCTCCTGCATGTTCCCTGGTGGACCTGGAAGTGCTTCTGGTCCACTTTTGGGTCTGCTGCTGAGCGTGCTGGGGACCCCCCTGCATTCGTTTGGAATGCTCCATGTGCCCCAGCATCTCAGCATTCATGGGCCGCCTGGTACCTTGAGGTGTTTAGAAAAAAACATTTAAAGCTGTGTCTATGTCTGAATCACTGAATTTTTCCAAATCTGTCCAAATCGATTTGGAGGGCTCTGATTCCATCTGGAGAGATTAAAGGGTCTTCTGATTCAATTTGGACTCAAGAGATTTGGCCACCCAATCTGGCTGATTTGAATCAGCGACCAAAGCTTTGCACAGCCCTAATGTTCAATATTTTTAAATATTTAGCTAAGAAAAAAATTACTTTGTGACTAACTTGTATATCTTACTTTGTGTGACATGACCTTCACAAAAGGAAAGAAACAAATATTATAGAAGTCACATACAAAAGTAATTTGTTACCTGTCATTTGACTCAAAGGCTCCATTACAGAAAGTCCAACTCTGTCTACAGCGATGATATGGTGCTCTTTGAGGTACTGCTTCAAGGATGGGTGGATAACTTTCTGGCATACTACAAGGCCTACCTCGTCATTAACCAACTGCTTTCCTAAATTCAGTAATTGATCCAATTCGGCTAGTTCTAGGGAAACTCCATGATGGACAACCACTGTTCCTTCTCCAGTACTGGAATGATCTCCTGACAGAGAAATGCAGAAGAGTGCCATCTTAATATTGCTTGAAGAAACTCTTCTAATAGGAAATGTTCTTGCCAGGTGAAGTTCTGGTATTTCTATAAGCAGTCCAGGAAACACAGTAGAATCCATAACTCTCTTGTTTTTCGCAGGTATAATTATGCACTTTCCTAGAGCAACATTAGTTTCTACATTATTTGGCACTGTAAGCAAAAAAGCCTTTATAACCAGTATGCCAATATGATCTGCTTCTGTTTTGTTAAGCATGCAGGCAGGTTTGCTTGTCAATACACTACGTACCAAACAAAGAAGAGTCTCAACACTATTAAAATCCACCAATATTCGGCAAGCACAGGCCTCAGACTTGAGATAGTCAGTACATAAGCTCAAAAGATGTCTGTTAATTTTAACAATAGTATAGGGCAGTAACTTTGTTCTTTGTAAATTTTCAAGCAGGTTGCAGCAAAGAATGGCTGTGAATAAGCCACAGTCACTGAAGCGTGATATGTGATTCTGTACAGAAGCTGTCAAAACCTTCAATATCGGATGAGTGGCAGAAAGGCCACTAAGCAGGGTAGAAGATTGTGAAGTTGTGCGAACATAGCCTCCCATACCATTGTGAAGCTGTTTAAGCCTACCTGTAGGGCCATAGCAAGATTTTAGTATTCCACTTAACACAGACACAGAGTGACTCACTATGTCTTTAGTTAAAGGTGCACTGGTACACAAAGAAGGCTTTTTAGCTTCTATGCGAGACATCTTCAAGACAACGTTTTCATTCTGGACAACAAAATTACAGATTTATTCCGTTTTCACTTGACTCTATTGAGCTATATTTTTTAACTCAACAGAAGTACATTTTTACTCTTTGCAGCCACAAATTGTCATAATGAACTACAGTATAGAATGACCCTGATGTTCACATAACTGTGCGTAGTTTAACAAATAACACTTAGATATAACAGTGATATATTAGTATCTGATTGTTACAGAAAATTACTTCATTCATCAAGATTCTTTTGTCTAATTCCCATGGTTGATTTAACAGAATTCTTTGCAACTCTTTGTATAAGGTATGTGCCAATATGGACACCTAGAAATGACAGTCCGGCCACAAGCAACCAGTTCTTTCTGAGCCAGCTAGTTCTTTTCATTTCTTCTTTTGACAAGGGGTTATGGATTTCAGAGTCAATTATAATCTACAAAAAACAGTAAAAGGATATTAATTAGTATCATTTTTATGCAACTACATTGTATAGTGAAACTTCAACTGCTTTTCCTGGGATCTAAGAGAATATATCCATGCCAATATTCAATAATCAGGCAAATTAGCATGGTAGGTAAGGCACTTCTTTCTTGCAGCCTATGAAGCATTAAGGTGTAAATTGAACATTTTAATTTACACCTTTCAGCTAGCTTTTTTGTATCTAAAAGTGTTGATTATTTTTAAGCTTAAAATTATTATTCTTTGTCCATTTTAATCCTCTGTTTAAACCTTTAGGAAAAGAAGTTGCTTAACTGACCAATAGTTCTCCGGTCCAGCAAGATTTAGCCACAGGTTTTGAGACTACAGAATGATGTAAAATGGATGTAACAGCAGAGGTGAAGATGGTTGGTAATACTTCAGTGTATAAAGGAAATAGGCATTTTAATTAATTTATTTGCTCAATCTGTATGCCTTGCTATTTGGTCCACTCGGTACGTAAGTATAGGGTTAACAAGTTTAAAAAAATAAATCAGTTTGAAAAAAAGTCTAAAGGTGATTTGGAACAAGATTATATTTGTGTTAAGTATAATTTATATGACAAAACTATATTAAATTAAGGGCTTTAGCTCTGGCTGGATAGGAAACTCACCTGTCATACACTGCAGTACCCCTATTTTCCTTGATTTTTGCTGTCCTGCTGCATCACGTGTGTCACAGTACCAGGTTCTTGGTCCAAGTCTTGTCTCTTCATTTTGAAAAGAGGATTGGATTGGATGCTAGACCACCCCCAGTGTATCAGAACAAGGCCTGGTCCCATAACAATCAAAACTTTGTAGTTCTTCCAAATCGTTTTTAGGCCCATAATATACTTGCCTCTACCTCTGCAAAGATAATTGATCATTTTAAATATATTCAGAAATGCTTTTTCCCCAAGCCAGTGTAATAGCAAAGTACAGCCAAACCTGAACATTAACAACTTTAATTGCAGTGCAGCATGCCAAATGATTAAGAACACAGTGACAGAAGGAAGCCTTGCTTCATGAACTTTAAAAAAAAAAAGTCTTTAAAAATAACACCTATTCAGATCTCTTAAAATGAAATGGTAATTGCTATAGTTGCTTCAGATTTATGGCATGCCAAATCTTTAAAAAAACAGCACCTACTCCATGGCTTATCCCTGTAATTTCCAAAGGGTGTACTGTGGCAAACTAGTGTACTACAAGACTGGCAGAAGTGTATCATGAAAAACAATACTTTATCAGTATCAGATCTGGCCTGAAGGCTCCTTATAGGTCTGGCAATTTGGTTGTGGGGGAGCAACAGTGATGATCACTGCCACTGCTCTTCTACAGCTAAATTTCCAAGCTCCATGTAATGGGATCAGACCCATGGCCAAGCCACAGACCAAAATTGAACTGCTTGTCCATCCCATGGGGCCAAAAGGTTGGGTACCATGGCATAAGTCTTACACACACACATGCACACAGACCTATAGCTGTCTAGCATTATACATGTCAATATTAGGGGTGCACCGATAGAGATTTTGGGGGCCGATACTGACAGCCGATTTTTAAGGAGGCATGTTGTCCGATCCCAATCCCATTTCTTCATGGAGAGCTGTGTGCAGCTGGTAAGTCTGTTGTGGTGGAAGGGGAGTGGGGAGGGAAGGGACATGTTGGGGGACAGATCAAGGCCCTTGTGGTGAGGGAGGGATTGGGGCTGGGGCAGGGGCAAGCGCTGCCCAGCTGGGGTGGGTGGCTCCTGCTGTTGGGCACACCCCAGAATAGCACGGGAAGTGGGGGGTCATGTGACCCAGATCTGCGCAGGGCACAAGTGGGGCTGGGCCCAGGACTGGGTGGCAGTGCTGGTGTGACAGATGAAATTATGTCTGTGTGATAAAGGTGCT